TTTCTAACCAGAATACTCCAAGCTCATTATTGGTCCATCCATTATTGCTTAGACCAATCAGCCAATCAGGGTCGATATCTTGATACCATTGAGATTGATGGACCTTGCCGGAGAAGATGATCATAGGGGGGAGGGGCCATCCAGAGGCGTTGATGCATTCAATAACAGTGACCCATTCGCGATTCCCTGGTTGTATAGCTCGTACGCGGCTTGTTCGATGACAGGATGCAGTAATAACCTTTGCTGTATGGGCCACACCCATCTGGAAGCCAGTTTCATCAAAATTATAGATATCCTGCTCAGTTATACCATATTTTACTATGGTATTCTGAACCAGACTGAACCACTGACTCATAACCTCTGGATCCTCACATTTGGCGCGCTGGTAGTCATATTTGCGAGTATATTTTGATATAATATCATCATGCCGTTTGATGAATCTAGTAATCCATCTCTCCCTGACTGCTTCCCCCTCTCGCTCATGCAGTAGCAGATTTGCCATTTTGCGTACTATAGCATGTGTTGGTGGTAGGCCACGCTCATCCATATCTAGAATCCACTTCTTTAGTGAAGTTTCTTCTAGCCTGCTAAGCTTCAGGCAGTTTGCTGGTATATCAGCCCGTGCTTTGCGACCACTAATTCGATGGGTAAGGGTAGAGCGTGGGACGTCATATGCAGCAGCTGCAGCTCGTATGCTCTTAAACTGTCCATTTTTGAATGCTTTAACTGCAAGGGATATGCGATCTTCTAATTTAATAGTTGAATCTGCTTGTTTTGAGGCCATATTTGATGAAGAACTGAACTTGATGATTTGGTGTGTTGTAAGAACAGTAAGATTCAGGGGTTGAGGTGGTGGCTCGCTCGGTGTCGTGGCTCGCTCGGTGTCCGATTACGTTAACCATCGATGATGTTGAATTGAACTTATTTAGTCCTTAAACTAGAAAGGTGTCTGGGCAACAATTTTGTGCACAGCATGTTATTACGTGACGCTTGAGCTGGGGGTACTAGACGCTAAAAGCAAAAGAAGGGAAAAAAGTATCCAACGCTTAACAAGCTCAACACAACCCTCGTCATGCATCAGTTGCAGAAAGCTAGCTTACCTCTCCATCGAAGGACTTACTTCCAGGGATCAGGAAGGACGGTGTATATGACCTTCGAGGCCAATTTCCGCCGCCTCAGGGATACCCTTGATCTGTCCGCCATTGTCGATCGGTTTGAATGAGGACCTTTTGGAGCAGGTCTCTAACAAATCATGCTTTGAGGCAGGAGTCAAGTTCATCCACTCGTGGTGTTCGGAACCTAGTAACTCGGGCCCCGTGATATGTCGTCTCGCTGTCTCCGCAGCTTTCGTGAGGTTCTGTTGTTTGCGCTGCATCTCTTCGGCGTCTGCATTGTCTTCGGCGGCGGCTTCCCGCGAGAGGTCGTTGATGACATTCTCCAAGTGGGTGAGGAACTGCCATCTCGAGTTTTGGAAGACAAACATCGACATGATTTCAGGGATCTATCAGGTAGTCAGTAGACTATCGGAGACGAGAAACGAGTGATTGGGATACCTTGTCATCCAGGTAGTGAAGCTCTTCGCCCCCATTCTCGATGAAACGCTTCAGAGCGTCTATCTTCTCACGATCAACAATGGCGGCCTTCAGGGCATACATTAATGTAGGAATGTTTCCTATCTCTTCCAACGGAGCCTCCTCTTCCACTCCAGTGCGACTCAGATTCCCCGACGCTGCTATCGAACTGGCGGCTTTGCTTCGCTTCCGCGGAGAGTGAATTGTAAAATAATCCTCGTTCAGCATGTGAGCCATCTCGAATCCCGATCGTCCACGATGTGTCTTCTCCACAGCGCGCTTTACGCGCAGTCTAACCCATCGTCGTCTTCGAACGAACGAATGGAACCAGGGATGAGTCCCATGCCAGGCTCTTGAGCTAAACGAGAACGAATACTGCCAGCCCTGGTCGTCGACGTCGCCGGACATATCGACGTACCATGACGGCCAAGCCCATTCCCAGCTTGGGTCTGGCACTTGGGCATTGGTGATATTGACAGGGCTCTCGCGGAAGTCATGCGTGACCCAAGGGCCGGGGTCAAGATTGAGTAGCGAGCTGTGCGAGTACAACGGAATGCCGAAAAAGAACCAGCCGCGCTGATTCTCGTAGAGAATGTCCAATTCGCTCACGGAATGAGCACCTTTGGTGTTGTTCTTTGGGTCATAGCCCTGTTGTTGCTGAGGCGCCGCGGAATCGCGCCCGCCGTTCGTTGAGGACGCAAAATCCGTCGCATCGATGTCGTGCTGCTCGATCGCGGCTTGAGAAGGGCCAGCTAGAGCGCTCTCCCCAGATATGGTATTCGCATTCGTATTCATGTGAGTCAATGGATTCACTGACGGGGACGGCATTCTGCTCAAGCTACTGTCGTCCGAAAGCTTCAATCGGTCCGGCTGCCATTTGGCATACTTTCGTCGCTTGAGTTCACCGCGGATGGACACTCTGCTCAATCGTCTGGAGCCAGTTCGTGACCCTGTAGCCGAGGGGATTTGAGACAGCGCCTCTTCATTGTCGGGGCGACGTGAGGGGTCGGTATGGTCGACCAGCGTAATCCGGCGAATGCCTTCCATGGTAATGATGACTCCACGGATTACCTCGATATTTGATCAGAATTTGGTTACAACAGGCCTCCAAGATTGTCTTGGCAGGACACTCTGGCATTATCGCAACATAGTACGGCAATCAATGTAAAGACAAAAGCAATATAGTGGACGTAGATGTACCAGGCATCCACCGAAGCCTCCCGACGAGAGAAAAGGGATGGGAGCATACAGCTCTTATAAGCTTGCAACCCAAAGAAAAATAGAATAAACAAACACAGACGTAGTATCAACTCAATCCCCACGAACCCTCGCAGACAGGACCAGAGAATCGGAGATGGAAACAAAGGAGATAAAACGCGCAACGTTCATGAAGCTTCCAAGTCCTCAAGCTAAACGGAGATATCCCAAACCAGATCGATGACATCGTTGCGGGGCCGTGATCGACAGATTGCCTTAGGCAGCAAACAATTCTCCTCACTAATTAATGCCTCAGGCATCAACCGGCGATATCGATAGGTACCCCGTCCGACCAGAGTAAATAGTGATAGAACATCCCGCACCGCGTCCACCAGCAACAAAAGTCAACAGAACAACCAACCAACAGCAGCAGCAGCAGCATAACAACAATGTCAGTCCCTCACTACCGCAAAATCGAGCTCCAATCGCCCGCAGACTTCACCTACCTGTACGCCAACACGGTCGCCCTCTCCCGCCAAAAGCTCGATCTCCATCTTCCCCCCTCGGCAAACACAAGCGATGGACCGGATCCCATGCGAGAACGCGTGAAGGAATTGGTCGACCAGGTACTATTCTCTAAGCCCCCGGAAAATTCAACGTGTCACTTGAATTCTAAATACTGGATTATAGTACATCAACCAAACATTCACCACCGCCTCCGCCTCAATCAGCATCAACGGCCTCGACTCCTCCTCGTCACAGTTCCCCTTCCCCGCTGCGTTCACGCAACCAACAGAGACAATCGAGTATGAGCCCTATGATACCGAGCTCGCGGCGCGCGTGACATCGCTCTACGCCCAGCTGGAGTCACTTACCACGACAGTCGCGCAGCTGAGGCGAGATGCGCCGGCGCGTGCGGCGAAGGCGTACGCAGAGCAATTGAGGAAAGCTATCGCGGAGGATGAAGAGAATATGGACGAGGACGAGGATGTTGACGGCGAAGCTGGAAATGAAGATGAAAATGAGGATGCGGATGGCGAGGGCGAAGAAGACGTCCCTATGCCTGACGCGGATGCAAGAAACACAACGACGCAGAACGGATCACACAGGCTGCGTCGGAGACTCTCGAAATCAAAGTCTGCGCGGTGGAATTTGCAGATTCCCCTTGTGTCCGACCATGAGGCAGAGCGCTGGCGCAGCGGGGAGATGGCGGAGGTTTATGACGATGCCTTGCGGACTTTACTCCGGCTTCAGGGTGAGGCTGTCCCTGGCGAGCAAGTCGAGAGCGGGCCAGATGGGACCGCGCTGTCCTCGACGCTGGGCAAGGCAGAACGAGCGGCTCGGGCTGCGGAAGTCGTGGAGAAGATGTGACGTTGGAGCGTTTCCCTATTTTCTGTCTTTCTTTCTTTTGGTTCTTGGCGATATCCCCTGGTAGGTTATTTTGGCGTTGGAATAAAGGCTAGTGGTAAGGTGTGATACCAGTCTCATTTACAAACATCACTTTTGCATTTCTCATCAGGTTTCTCAAATGCTGGTTGGCTTAATCAAAGTAAAAGTGTACGAGAACATCAGTCATTGTATTGACTACCCATAGTCAAGCAACCAAATTCCACACTAGATAAACACTTTATATTCAGTCCTGCCATGTGTTCCTATCCTTGCCCGCATCTATAAAAGCGCCGCGTCACTCAGTCGGAGTTGTTGACTATCTATGTTTGGATATTGAGAAGAGGAAAGAGATAAAACGTCCCCCGGTCGGCCCTGAAAGCCACTCCGCCAGGGTAACATTTGACCAGTTATTGAATTTATGCGATGTTGAAATGCGATCATGAAGGACACGGTTGAAGGTACAAGAAGAGGGGCTGTCCGAGGAGTGATAGAGACGGCACTGGTGAAGGACACGCAGGTCGACACGGATGATAGCTGAATTCCTTTACCACATGAATCCAAGAATTTATGTATGCAAGGCAAACGAGAAGAGCAAAGAGAGCAAGAAGGACGGATAGCCTACGCTACGGGCTGAGAGCCCTCTTGCGCGGCGGGATCCTTCACCACAGGACCCAAGTCTTCATTCTTCACGACATCCTGTTCCTCCTTAGGCAGAGCCCACTTGGCCGGCTTGGCCCACTCGGGCTCTTGCCAGGGACCCATATCGCTGAGCTCACAGCCTCCAGCGCACTCGCAGGTACCGCCGAATTCAACGGGGAGGTTCTCGGCAGGGATCTGCTCCAACAATTCCTTCTTGTAACCGGAACCAAGGACGTGGATCTTCTGCACGGTGACGGGGTCGAGGAATCCCTTGACGACGTTGAACACGCTGCTGAAACCCCAGGGGGCATTGATCAGGTACAGCTTGCCCAGGCGCTCGGGGTAATAGTTCTGCGAGATGGCGGAAGCCTGACGCACGTATCCGTACACGGAGGGGACGCTTGTGATGCCGACGCCTTTCAGGTCCATGATGCTGCAGCAGGTCTCGAGCAACTTGCCGGCCTTGCGCGAGCAGGCGGGCAGCCGGGGGTCCGCGAGCTTCTCGTACTCGCACACGAGGTTCTGCAGCATGCGCTCGGCGGTCGTGATCTTGTACATGGCGTTGAGATCGATCTTGCCCAACTTCTCAATGTAGACCGGGCGGCCATCCTATCCGACCAAAGTATTCATTAGCACATAGATGACAAACCACCATTTAAGCACCAAAAAATTGGCCTACCTTGTCTGTCTTGTGGTAGTATTGAGGATAGTACTGGAAGACCTGGGGCTTCTCCTTGTAGTCGAAGGTGCGAACGAGGTCGTCGGTGCCGAATTCTTTCCGCCACTTCTCACAATCGATGAACCTGGTAAAAGCAAACGAATTCACGTATTAGCAAATGGAACAATGCTAAGCATCCACAGTACAGAGGCCAATCGGCAGAGACAAGTAACCCTTGAGAACAAGACAAGGCAGGACAGTCAACAAACATACATAGCCTTAGCAGCAGCCACATCGAACTTCCGGGCTCTCAAGAAGCGCAGCATGGTCAGGGTATCCAGTCTGTCCGTGTATCCCAGCTGCTCCAGCTCACTACGGAGCTGGTCAACCTTTGCATCTTGCTCTGGGGTAGTGTGGCCAGGGTGGCCCGGTTGGGGTTCAGGCGCAGTGGTCGGGAAATCGTAGTCGTCATATTTCGACGTCGTGGCCGACTTGTTCTCAGCTACAGCAGCCATGGTTGCTAATATGGTAGGATCGAATTTGAGAAAGATACAAGCCGAAGAAAGTTATGAATATTTGACCTGGAAATCAAGGGTTGGCCAAGACACTTTATTGAAGAAATTCCGGTCGAAAAGGGGAGGGGAGTGGGGAAGTAAGATAGATTGAGGGAGGCGGAGTGCAGAAAGTATTAGGCAGTCGACTTCTTGATTGCTTCAACGGTGGCAACCTGCAGTCGAGTGAGAGGAGAATGAAGAAGATTTATGTTGTAGATAGATCAGAGCATGACCATAGATGGCTAGACTCTGGAGGAGAAGAATCAAATTGAGCTGGCCGAGGAATAAGTCTCCGTCTTCCGTATGGTCGACCAGCAAGAGACGGTCAAGGAACGCGATACTACGGGAGGGCCTCTAAAACGCGCCCGCTAGTGTATTAAGAGGGTAAGAGGGGCAGGCGAACTTCTTGACAAGACAGAAAACTTGCAGACTACGTAGACAAACACTACGGGATCCACCCGTCTACAAAGTGTCGGTCTGCATCAAACTGCGAGACCGTATAGATAGGTTATCAAAGTCTTAGGTAAGTATAATGGCTAACAGGACTATTTTCTCCCATGAATATAGTAATACCTACCGACGTTCAGCGGGACTGCGAAAAGCCACTTGGCTAGCTTAAGGTCTCTCATCTACTATGATTAGGAACCCGGCTAATAGATAAAAATATAGATACATATTTACATAGACGGCCAGAGCTCATTACACCGCCGTCTCTGTGAGACTTTTTTGTCCCCGTCAGAAGTAGGTCGATAGAGGGCATTGATAGTCAAGGCCAAGCACGGATCTGATCAACCCCAAGACACAACCGACCCAGGCAATAGCACATGGTTCATCCAAGCTGAGTCACAATGGAGAGTAGGGTGTCATTCAACTAGACACGAAGTAGAAAAAGACAAAAAGACACCAAGCCGAATAAGTTTACAGGCAGCGAAGGAACGCAGAAAAAGGCCAATGACCCGATATAAGGCAAGATGGGACAGCAGATGCAACTCATACAGCCGAAGAAGATTCAGAAACAATATAGACGTCAAACAGTGGTGTATCAAGGAGCATTCACAAAATATCAATCATCCAACAGGTATAAACGTTGCAAGTAAAAGACAACACACGGTGATATCAGCGAAATAAAAAGCCAACAAGACAAAGTCAAGCCCAGCTATGGCGTGTTCCCGAACCAGCGGACATCCATAACCAAGGCGAGATATGTGCCCACCATATTACAAGGATGTTCCCGAGTACCAGCAGGATAAGAGTATAAGGTATCAAAGACAACAAGTCATAGGGTATCTGAAAGTCGACCCCTGCTCGAACGCCTAGCCCCCTGGGAGGGGATGTTCGTTGAGACAGGGAACGGAGTAAATATCGTCCATCGCCGTTTCGTAACGCGGAGCAGGTCTTCCCATGTCGAGCGCGCGCCCAAGCTGCCTTAAGCAGCGCGCCCGAGAAATTCGCCCTCGCTCGTCAAATGGAGAATTGTAACACAGCAAGGCCTTTAGAACGAAGGAGTTAGAGTTTCATCCGGGCGTTCGCGGCCAACTATCTGCTCCATCTCGTACACATCGTAATATTAAATGGTCTGGTAAGACGCTGCGCTAATCATCTTACCAGCC